GAATTGCTGTTAGCTATCGGTTCCAAATTTTCATCATTATCAATATCTTCACGTATCAAGAGCATTTTTTGTGAAACGTTATATGCATTAGTAATTTCATTAGGTCCTGTCACAGTTAAGGAATAAAGAGGTCAAGAAAATCTATCCTCAGCTAAATAAGCCGTAATAAGCTTGACGAACTAACTGTAACATTAGTTAGAATTCTTCCTCTCCACGGTTATACTTTCATTCTTTCAGTTAGCCTACTAATACAGATGCGACCGGATATCAGCTCATACGGACAGCATACCGATATAAACATTAACTGACTTTATATTTTTAATCAAAGATGATACCAATATCAATATTATAATAATAAGAAAAAGAGAATTCAGCGAAGAAAATTTTCTTTTCGACGAAATCATTTACTTAAGCTGTACATTCGTATATATAGTTATATGGAAAATGTATGTCTATAGAAGGATAGAAAGGGTTGTATCACAAAAAAATGGATTCGACAATAAATAACAAATGAGGTTAACGTACTAATCAAGGGGTAAGGAAGAACAAAATTTAAGGGTCAGATAATAGTCCAATTGACAGATTGACAGATATGAAGAAAAACGACAAAACAACAAAGGTCATAATAATAAACTGAATGATAATCAAGAAAACTTGTAAAAGGTAATAATAATAAATGATTAAAGTTTAAAGTGCAAAATAGTAATTAAAAAATATGGATAATAATAAAAGTGCATTAGGAAAACAAAAAAAACAACCTAGCAACATACCCATTAAGGCCAAGGAAGGATAAGAGGCTGGACAAATCGTTTCTGCACGCAAAGTTCAGGCTTTAGTTTGTGGATTGCCAATGCCTCTGCGGTGCATAAAATATTGATTCGAACCCCCTTCGATCCAGTTCCTTTGACTCTGTAAACTATTTTAAACGAAGAGTCTTTTATAATAATAGTAACAATAATAATTTATTCTCAAATAACAATTTGTTACGTGAGGCACGTCAGTTTACAGGCCAGACCAAATTGTTACAAAAGATTCAATTTTCACTATAATAAATTACTCAGCCGGATTGATATTTTGTGAGATATGATTGTTTTTCTATTAGTGTGCGCAAAACACTTATACCATCCACAGGTTAACCAACGTCTATTACTACACATCTCAATGTGGCTTATTAAAATATCTCTATAATAAATCACTTTTCATTATGACAATCCCACTTTGTTTAACTATTGAATGGTATTCACGTAGATTTATATCATGAACGTGTTCAGAATTAAACTGAAAATTGTGAAATTATGACGCGTATTTCACAATTAGTTCCTAGCGCCTCCAATTCGATTCATCTTCAAGCCTATCAATACTTGGCGCATTCTTATTATTCTCTTGTTAACCTCTTAAATGCTATTATCCCACTCGATATGATATCGAACTAACGTCATATTGATCCTGGTGGTAGAGTAGTGTAGTGGTACTAGTTCCTAATAGGAACGATTGATCGAGTTGGTATGGCTCGGTCATGCAGGCGTGGTCATCCCACGTAACCTCATGTGTTTGGATTTTATATATATTACTCTCTAATAGGCCTAAAATATGTTTTCCAGAAGTGTTGGACGTTATACTGATTGCTGTCAGGAAAGGGCGAGTCAGCGTAGACTATGGGACTTCTATGTGCGATTTTATAAACTGAATAATTACACCATGACGAATCTTCAATTTTGAGGTTGGGTCTATCGCTAGTCTGCCGACTGTAGTGGATGGACGGACCATCACAATTTACTGTGAGAGTTTAATAGACATACTGTGTCTCGGACTCTCGAAAGGTTTGGGTAAGATTAGTCATATCCACCGTACCAATAAGCTCAAGCAGACAGATATTCAGTTACTACTAACAAGCTAGTTTAACACGTATCAAGATAATCGGACTTTTAAGGTCAGTGTAGAATACTTGTAGAATTATGATGTTTTTGGTATTAGTACATTTATCTTTGCCACCATGATATTAGATCCAATCCAAAAATTGTAGATTTGTCATGCTGTGACCACCCAGTCTGTAAAATCTCACGTAGAAGTCACATCATAGTCTGACTCGTTCTATCGTGACAGTCAGCAATATAACGTTCAACACTTCTATGTTCGGTTTAATACAAAGCTTAAAGGCGATAGTCACAAGCTAGGAGTTAACTGTACTTCCTGCTCTTTGTGTTTGGTCATCACTCGCTAACAAGTAAAGCATTCAGAGCAATTTCGCAGAGTCCTTACAAATGACAACACATTACACTGATTTATTAGTAATCTTCTAACTTCTATCGTTTCTTACATCGAGGTATCTACTTGGAGTCATCGGTAGCCCATTACTCCCAGACATAAAATCTCTCTTACTTCAAGCTTCATCTGTCCCGTCAACAAATGGAGGCGGCTCTGATTGAACTGGATCTTCTAACAGTCAGATCTTTCTGAAACCTGTAAGGATTGGTTGTTCCCGATAGGAGTTTCATATACAAGCACTCGTAGTCTATGAGACAAAGTCCGTAAATTAAGAGTATTTGTGGACAAGTTGAAGCCATTCATTATAGCTATGACCAAAACTTGGTAGGTTTGTGGCTTTGAGATCACCTCAGAATTATCAGGATATGACACCCTAAAAAGTGATAAGGAGAGATACAAGAAAGAAATTTGAGTCCCTTGATGCACGGTTAATAATATGAAAACCTTTCCTTCTGCGAGTCTCGTGATAGTGGAACTTGTGAAGCCGTTGTGAACTCACTTGTGAAGGCTGTACATTTTTACTAGGTGCCACCTATCACAGCCTAACTTGCTTAGTCGGTGATTTTATCTTAAAGAATATTAGAACATGTAGTTAAAACAATAGATGACTGATGTTAGGAGATTTTAATGCACCTGAGATTAGTACAGTGTGTATCGGAACCCGCACATTTTGTTCCAAACCACTAACCTTCGCTAGACTTCGTAATCATTCGTGAGACCGAGGATACTACATATTTGAATATTCTCCCACTGTTATCTAGTTGCGATCATGCTGTTTTCCATTCATGTTTATAGCTTATGATATACTATGTGGTCAGGTTCGACCATGCCGAAATGTGAGCACAGAAAACACATGAGTGTGCCACACCAAATGGACTGGTCTAGGATCCTAGATCACTGATTGAAGAAGCGCGGTTGGCATTTGAAGGTGCATTTGGCTTGGCTACGTCTCCGTTTAAACCGTTCTCAGCACCATGTAAAACCAATAGCTGCCCACAATGAATAGCTAAATGTCAAGAAAGTTCATAGACGTAGGAAAAAGTATAGCAATACGTCTATCTTTACAGGCTCTGAACAGTACAGATTTGATTATTGAAAGAATATGAACAAATGTAAAGCGTAGTAGCAGTGCATCACCGATACTTGCAGGCAGGAACCAAGGTATATTATCGACAAAAGTGGAAAAGGAAAAAGCTGGTAAATCATAGTAAGATACTATCCTTACTTTTAAAGGAATCCTGGGAAGTCGTTTGAACTAGCAGCGAATTCCAGCATTTGACTACTCTTAAGGACTAGAAGTCATGTCTACAGTCTGTTCTGCTGAGTTGTGTCTCCAGTTTCTGGGTGTTACCCCAAAGTTGTGTGTTACTTTTTAAATCACATAAGTCCAGTGTTCCTGACGAAATCCATTCTGGAACCATATATCCTGAGGCGAATGTAGTTGCTGAACCTCTAGGATTGGTGTTTGATATGTTTGTGAGGCAGTCAAAACTATCAAGAAACGAGTAATGTGCATTTATAAGTCCAGCTTATAAGGCGGGGAGTAGATACATAGCAACTATCTACCCTCCAAACTAACCGGCGTAGCCCTGAAGCTAGTGAAATAGATCATTCTGATGGCTATTTTGAATTATGTCAAAGGAAATGACCACTTAGTCAAGGAAGAACATGGTTTTATTAAAGGCCTTTCGTTCTTGTTAAGGCCCCTCACCTAAGTCCCCAATTATTTCCTGAACGTTTTGCTATTCATCATAGAGTTATGAACTGAATAAGCGACTTTCTTAGTAATATGAGACGAGGCTTCGTCAGAATGAGAATTCATAAAAAGTAGAATCGTTGTCTGTCTTTTTTTACCTTGTGTGAATAACTTACTAATTGTTTCATGGTAATTTATTCTGCCCCATGCGTAACACATCAAGATTCGGCGACCCATATGCGGTATGTCGGACAAAACAATATTACGGAATGATAATAATTAACCGGTTGATTAGATATATAGGTGGTTACCGGGAGTTAATTCCAGAGAGTGTTTATTAAAATAAATGATCTCTACGATTTATGTCACTACCTAAAGTAATGAACTATAAAAATCTAGGAGTCAGAACAAGCAGTGACCCTAGAACTACGAGTAAACGTAAGCCTGCCACTGTCACAGGCACTGGGGTCCTATGAGGTACTTGTAAGTAATTGTATAACATGGATCAAGAAACGTTTAGGGTATTGTACCTGACGTTTTTAAGGTTGATTTGGAATATGGGATCCAAGCGGAAAGTCATTGTTTCATGTACGCAGCGGATATGCTAGGGCAAATTAACGATGGAGAACCGGAATGACGAAAAATTTCACTTGTCCGTCTTATGATGACAGACTGAGACACATTTCCGTTATCTTATCACAGGATTTGAGGTGATTAAATTATGACTTACCGTATACACGATGATAATGGCAATAATATATCCTATCTCTACTTTCTATCTAGGACTGATCATTTAAGAGGAACTTCTTAGAAAGTTCAAGAACTAAGATCAAACCGTTTACGTCTGCGTTTCCGTTTCTTGCATCGAGTAGTGAACTTCTCCATCAGAACATGTATTATCAGCACCTCGTGTTGATGAATTCTGAGTGAGGTTGGATTTCATTAGTACTGAAAATTGCAACCATTATTATAAGTCAACTGACTTCCTATCTTCACTTCTGCGGACTGAGAAGCTGACCCATTGGACTATGAAAACCGCGTTATCTTGACAGCTACGCTACCAAGAAGTTTCTCGTTTCGGGAAAGTTGATTATGTTTCCAGTATAATGAGCACTGCAGAACCGTTCGCAGGGTGGCTTTACAAATGGACAAATCTTATTAAAGGCTATAAAAAGCGTTGGTTTTTAGTACAGGATAATTTACTCAGCTACTACCGGTAAATATAATCTGTGATTAATTTGGTTTTTAAGAGAACCGGATGCAGTTGGGCGACATTGTCGTGGGACTTTCGACTTGACGAACGCCCACTTAAGTGTTCAGGAGTCTGGATGCTCCTTTATTTTGACGGAGAGCTCTGGAAGAAAGCATCACTTCAAGGCATTATCTGAAGAAGATAAGGAGAATTGGATTATTGCCCTTACAGACTTAATTTCGAGATCTCAGGTTACCCATACTGGTTAGTTCGTCAATTTGAGCCTTATAATTTACATACTGTTGTATTACTGACGTTTTCCTACAATGAACTTTGCTAGGTTTTATTGAACCATTGTTTTCTGAAAAAATGGATATCCGGCCACTGTCATAGCAGTAGTAATAGTCCATGACTAAAACTATGTTTACATGCGTGATTTTTTTATACGAGTGATATCTTTCTGCTCATAAATCTAAGAAATGGAAGATTTTCGCGTTTGCAACATATTACCTTATTATTTCCAATGTTGCATAGCTAAGTTAAAACGCTTTTGGATTTGGGTTTAAAGCAACTAGAGGCTATCAGCCTCTGGGTTTTATTACATTTGTAACAAAGTGTTTGACCTCTGAAATTATGTCCCGCGCGTGTTACAGTATCTGTCGGCGACGTGGCTACAAAACCAAATGTCGAATTTGTTCAGAAACTGATTTTTCACTGTCCTGACCACAAAATTATCCCAAATCTAAATAAATCAGCAGAAAATTCATAGCACTACAATAAAAGTGGTTCATAATTCTGTAAAATACTAAAGAGCCACAGTCCATTAACGTGGTATATTTGTTTACATGAAACTTTCACGTTATTTGAATGAACATTTACGAGTCTTTTTTAATGAGTTATGCCACATGTCGATAGACTGTTTACCTGTGCCTTAGTCACTTAAACGATGGGAAGAATGCTAGTATTTATAGTTGCCATATACGTCCAGAGTAACTGAACCTCCGTTTAGTTTTACTTGTGTAAATTAACAGTTTCCTCTTAAAATGCTATAGAATTTAAAAATGTTGCAATGAATTAGAGAGTATTATTGTTCTTGGGAACCTTCATGACCGGTCGAGAAAGTGAACAAAGCTCGTTCTTAAAAGGCTGATTTTTCGAGTTTGAATCAATAGCAAACTGTAATTCGAATTTTCTACCTCTAGTAGTGTTCATCTAGGCTTTCCACAATACCATGTCTTATTTAACTCTTTTATCATATCCTAAGTAATAAGGGCCCTTAATTTTTCGGCGATCGAACTCTTACCATGAAATCCGTTTTGTCGACAGAGATTGACAAAATACAGTTTTCTGACTATTGAGTAGTATTTCAAAGATGCGTCGTACTCAGTTTAAATACAAAACACTGCTTCAAGACTAGTCTACATTGTCATAGGGAGTCACATGGCAAATGCTCTGGCCTGTCCGGGGGTGGGTTGAGTCAGCTTTTCCTCTCTAAATGCTCTCACATGGCTACCTGTATAAAGCCACTCAGGAAAATCGTACTTACTGCCTTCTCGCGTCGGGGTTGTTGTTTACGAAATTGAGAGGATGAAAAGCGAACGTCCGGAGCTTTAACCGCGTTGGTAGGTATGGAGGGTTCATCTAGTGAAGTTGGTAGTGTTGCACATGTGCACATGCGCTCCAGGATCAATTTCTATGTGTTTAAATAAATGAATAACTAATCTGCTTACTCTCCCACTGATTACAGTTCAGATCAAGTAAAAGATGAACTTTATGGAAAGCTCTTCACCTTTGAAAATTTGGTTAGTTGTTGGGATATTCAGGAAAATATCCCAGAAATTATTCTATTAAATCTAATGCTATTCTTGGACTTGGAGATGGTATTATTTACTTATTGATCAGTACTTATTTCACGTGTCATTTTCCTACTGGTTAATATTGTACAATGTTATTTTCTATTTTATCGTACGATGTGGTCTGCTTGACTGGTATATAAACAAAGTATGTTTGAAATATAATGATTCGTATATCCGAGGCTGAAACTTGTGTTCTGGACTCAACTGGCTGGGTTAGTCAGGGTAAGCGGGACCAATCAGAACCCTAGGCTGTTCTACGTGTTTGCGCGTCTTTGGTCCGATCAATAATTCGCTACCCTTAATCAGCATAATATTTTTCACGTCATAACATTAGTTGTAGTATTAGTAGGTGATTTTAATGCACACGTAGGTTGGATAAACGAAACTGAAAGACGTGTAGGATGGGTCTAGATGTGTTGTGGCTCAGCGAACAGTTAATGGCGATCATCTACTGCAACTGTGCTCAGATAGTTGTCTATCTCTAGCAAGCACTAACTTTTAGCATAAGAAAAAACAAGTTCTGACGTGGCAAGCCCCATGATCGGCTCAACGATGAACTCAACCAGACCACATTACCATCAGCCATCTTTGGAAAGGCTTGACAAAAAACTACCACCCATTCTGGAGCACGCGCTCAGGCTAATCGCGCTCTAATGCAATATGTTTTTCCACGTCTTTCTGGAAGTAAAAAGTCTTGGCAAAAATGCCCTTAAAGTTCAGCTCAACAATGACAAGGTCAAGAATATATTTCAGGAACAACTAGATAAGAAGTTAGTCAACTGTGAAAGTGAAACGATTATTAAAAATCTCGCTGTTAGTGAGACTATCTCGGAAAAAGAATTAGGACTATTATTTACTCTCAATCCAGGCGATTAGATTGATGGCAAAATACTTTAGGGAACAGTTCAACTGGTCTTTAGTCATATTTCAGTTACTCACTATCTCCAACCGCTCGGAATGGTTAATTGTTTTAAGCCCTTCAACCTCTTGTGAGGTCAAAAAGGTCATAGGCAATTTGAACCAAAGGAAGGGAACAGGTCCAGATAGATTAGTTCCGAAAATCTTTAAGTATGGTGGTCCAGCTTTAGGAGTTAGAGTAACTGAGATCTTAGCTAGAATCTGGGAACTGATCTTAGTCCCATCTGACTGGTCTCAATCGCTGATCTTCCTGGTTTATAGAGAAGGACAAAAGTCCTCTGGTGAAAAACATAGAGTAATCAGTTTGATTAATGAAGAGCGAATCCAAGAAAACTACTCTTGTTTCGGACCTGGACCTTTAACAACAGATGTTCACAGGTTACTGCCTCTAAAACTCTGGGATTTGCTTTGATAATTTGTTTTACTATGATAATGTCGTATAGCAACTTGAACTGATGCATGTGTCAGGTTAACGCTATGTATTACTGATGTAGTACTGTTCTAGATAATTGTGCTATTCATGAATAACAAACAGCCTCCTAATTTATTTAGTTAGAGTGCAAACTTTGTTGACAAATATTGGTATTTTAAGACTGGGGTGAAGCATCACTTTATAAAACAATTGACTGTAGTTTGTCTTAGGACGAGTGCCATTTTCCTGTTTTAAGTTTGCTTGAAAATGATAGTCATTAGAGACTCAATAACTGTAGGCAACATTTTTATGCTGTTATACGAGACGTACTTAAAAACCATCTCGTTTGCTTACCAACTTCAAACCAAATCACTTTTTTGAATTTGAAGTTTTCTACAACTCCAAGATCATGAAGAATAAAGTTATATATCTTGAGATGTGTAAATCTTGTTACGTTCATCCTTAGTCTTCACCATATCTAATTATTTGTTTTACTCCAAAAATCCTCCTTTTATTAAAAATTTAGAGATTGAGTCAGATTATTCATCATTTAACATACTTCGACCAGACAAAGAGAACAGTTGTAAGCGAAATTCTTTCAGATTTACTCTTAAAGGTCGACCAAAGTTGGATATTAAAACAACCAGTTTCCCAGTTCTACCTCAACCGCTTGCTAATCAATCAATATCACTGAATAACTGTCAATGTGCTAGCCAATCGTGTTCACACGACGGTTTATGTAATTCAACTTTTCATGAGAAGTTCCGAAGAATAAAGCTGAAGCACGATTTATCGAAATCCGATTCTAGGTGTGTATCAGATGCTCCAATATCAAATTCATTTTCTCTCCCTATGCATGAACCAAATGTTTCTACCAATGACCTCAAGATAAAAAGTGATACAGGAAGACGTTTGTCTCGTCAATATGTCATTTCAATTGAAGACAGCAACCGTTTAGGAATTATAGAGGCTTTGAAGAGACGCCTACATGATCACATTAGTAACATTTGTTCTCAAGTCAGTAATATCGAGTCAATGCTTACATCAGTCTCAAGTGAATTATCCAGTTTGCTGCTGCAGCCACGTTCATCCCCATTGAATTCAGATGATCACTTTTCTGCCTCAGACCTAGAAAGACGGACTACTTCTCTTAAACTTGCCTTACTCGAACATCGTAACGACGCAAAAGAATTTTACGAGGTTAGTTTCTTCCATGATTGTCGTAATAAATTGTTTTTTACCGATAGTGCGTGTTGTGAATATTCATGTAGCTTTTCAATGTCTTTTAAAAATCCTTGCTTATCGTTCTCGTTTGACGTCATAAAACCGGGCTTGTCTTTCGCATTCTTGTTTAAACGGTGCTGACTGGTCACTGTAAAGCAGCTTTTATCATTCTGTTGACTATTCGCTATGTGTTAATATTTTACATACATTAATCGTTTGTTTTGTTTAAGGTGAAAAAGATGCAGTTCTGGCAAAATTAAGTAAATTTTCACATAATGTTTTTGCCGCCTTTTTACTATGTTTAAGTTAAAGAATACTATCTTCAAAATTTAAAGTTGGGGAAGTATTTATCTATTTGCTAAAATTTATTGCTTACTGAGCTATGAGGTTTGGTAAAGATAGAAGATCACTCATTATAAAATAGGTGTTTCGTGAGCTGGCAATGAAAAGTATACCTGCTATATACATCCTGAAGAGAATATGATTAAAGTTGGGAAGTTTTCCAAAAACAAGGGAGGTGGAAGTACTCCTTATCACCACAATCATATTTGTTAAATTCAGCAACCAGCTTTTCATGGAGCCCGACTTCGGTATGCAATATCTTTGGTGGTAACGGCTCAAAAGTTTTTTGCAAGCTGAGTATTGTGAGTTATATTTTGTAGCATGTGTTAAGGAAACGCGTTTGGATATCCCTGTTTGTTAATTATGGTATCTAAATCCATGAAAACTAAATATTGTGAAGGATAACCGGACTAAAAGCGATCACTGACTTTTATTATTGAAGCCATGACATTTAGATCATTTTATCATATGGGTCTTACAGACAACTTCATGGACATTTAGTTTAATGGAGATCTGTCAATACAAAAATTGTCAAGTTTACTCTGTCATCATTAGAAAAAAATTAATGCTATATACCTCTTAATTTTTTCTACGATTGTGAAAGAATAAACATTCATGCTCGGTTGATAAGTAGCGATTATTATATAAAGCCTAACTTTCTGAAAAAGGTTTGCAAGTCACATATTTGTTTCTCGACTTAGTGACCTCAAGGTCAACAGTAAAATATGTCAAGTGTGCATAACTCAAGTAAAAAAGAAACACTTTTTGTTACAGATGATATGGTAGTGAACAGAACACCCGTGGGGACAATCGAACGTATTTAACACAAAATTACGGGACTTGTTAATAAAATCTAACTATCATAAAGTAAATACCTAGTTTGCAAAATGTCCATCAATTGTCTCAAAATGACTCAGACTTCATTGTTCTTGCATTATCATACAAATTGCATCCTGTTTTCATTCTTTACTGTTCGATCCTCTTGTTTCTGTGCTCCCAGACCTTCTGTTCACGACTAACGTCATATACTAATTATGTAAATATAAGTAGCACACATCACAGTATTAGGTAGTTAAACACATGTTGATTATTTTCTGTCACAACGATAATAATAATTTGCTTGATAATACTATTAACAGATTTGAAATTTCATACATGATAACAGTTAGCTGAAGTAAGATAGTCACTATATTATCGTACTTTTTTATCGACGTAGTAGTGTGTAAAGGGGTTTATACCTTTGGTTGGAAAAAGATTGAGTCAGTAATTGAGTTTTTTATCTATTCAGAATACAATGAGAATACTTGGACTCATTAACTGAAAATCCGTAGATTATTTGCCTAGATTAAGTATTTACTGGTGCTTAGAGACTCGTCTACTTCAGGATATACTTTACGAATATCAATTAAAACGACTCAGCTTGTGTAAAGCTTTGAATCAGTTCTGATAGAAGGACCATTTGGCATTTTTAATTCTGTATTAACTGTGGCCACGTTTGAATATCCAACTAATCAAAATTGTACGGCACTTCTTTTTTACCTACCTTTTAGCTATGAAATGTCTTTGGAGATATAATTTTATGTAATGCGGCAGTGCGGAGTTTAAGCGAAGTGAATGCACTTTTTATTGCATTGTTTTATGTTGTCTATATCTGTCACTCTATATAAACCTGTTCGACAGAAAGACATATAATAAACATAATGAGATATTGATGGATTTCTGTTTGTGATAATGTTTATCTGTTTCATTGATTGGACATAAATGAACTGACTAACTATATTTAAGATTACACTGTTACATTAATTTGCATACACTTAGTAGATTATATTGTGCATTATAATTTTAATGAAACAATTTCTATTATTTTATAAAGTTCGTAAGATATGTTACTAGTTAGGCTAGACTACTAAGAATGAAAACATAAAGCATCAAATTTAATTCTTTGAGTGAATTCGTTTCATACAAGAAAATATAAGTGGATTGATTCATGAGGCAATGACCAATTGTTAAACTGTATTTTGTATGTAAACTTAAGTGAATTGGGCAATAGTGTAGAGATTGTTGAACATAAAGAATTATATGCCTGTTTCAAAAATACAAAGATAGTTCATACTATCATGTTTTGCGTGGTGCAAAGACATAACCAATTAAATAGTTGACTTTCTTACCATTTTGTTAAGAAGTACTGCTTTCCTGATCTACTATTTGTTTTGTTTTGGTAAATATTTATTTGGATCTATATATTTCGATTTTTGTCCTTCATCGAAGATAAAATAACTCGTTTATGCTAACCACTAAATACTTACAATGGTTTATACTGGTGTATGGTTCGAAAGCGAGGAATTAAAACATAACTTCTGTGCCACTGTATAATATGTTATTGCGGTCGAAAATAAGCACCACTACTATTGATTGTTTAGTCAGTTAATTTTGTTTTAATTAATTAATTATTTATTTGAACACATAAATATTGGTACAATAGAGCGCCAATATAAATGCGCCACACAAAACAATGAGAATTCGAAGAGAGAAAAAAAGTAAGGAGCGCAAAAGAAAAAGAGAACAATAACGAAGAGATTGGTGTAAGGTAGTGTGGTAGTAATGAGGGAACGGAAAGGTACAATCAGAAGAAATCTTTCAGGTAAGGAGACACAACCACTTTTTATGAAGAAAGTAAAAGAAGGTTACAGCAGGATCGCCACTGGCTTCTATTCTGAGCCATATCTGATAACGTCTCTAGCCACTGTGTAGCACCATCTCTCGGACCCCAACCAGGGAGTCGTGAAGGACCAACAAAAGCCAGTCCTTTGCAGCTTTCTTTCCTACCACGACACCATGTCATGCACTGACCACCTCTCCGCTTCTTCCAACCAGTCCCAGAGTCGGCAAATAATGCACGACGTGGAATTCTCTGGGACGACATTCGTAGAACATGTCCAAGCCACCGAAGTCGGTGTTTCAAGATGGTGACACCAATTGCATTATCATCTCTGTGCCCGAACACACGATGCCGAACCTCTGCATTACTGACATGGTGTTGCCACTGGATGTCAGCAATCCTTCGGAGACAGCGATGATCGAACACAGAGAGTCGTCTAACGTCCTCAACTCGGAGAGGCCAGGTTTCACAAGCATAGAGCAAAACTGCTCTCACCGACGCGTTGTAGATCCGACCTTTTACAGCCAGACTAACATCACGAAGGCGCCAAAGGTGGCCCAGATTGGCATAAGCCGCTCTGGCTTTCACTATTCGTGCATTGATCTCATCACTCACACCCCCACCAGCACTTATGCAGCTACCCAGATACACGAACTTCTCGACTACGTCTATCTGCTCACCATCCAGGGTGAGTACAGGATTGGAATCCTGCCAGTCTTGTAGAAGTACTTTGCACTTCGAAGGTGCAAAGCACATACCATACCTACGGACACTGATTGCCAACTGATTAAGTGCGGATTGCATGCCTTGGGCATTATCGCACAGTAAGACAATATCGTCCGCATACTCAAGGTCGAGAAGTCTTTCTCCAGGCAACAGATCCACACCACCATTACTTACATTCATCAGAGCTGTTTCCAGAATGTCATCGATGGCAAAGTTGAAGAGGAATGGTGAGATTGGGCAACCCTGCCTAACCCCACTGCTCGAATGGAACAATGGAGAGAGGTGGTTGTATGCCCTCACTCTGCCTGAGGTGTTTTTATATAGGGCTTTTAGGATGTTAATAAACTTCTCAGGCACACCCTTCTTCAATAGACAATCCCAGAGAACAGTCCTGTCCAACGAATCGAAGGCAGCCCTGATGTCAAGAAACACTACGATTGTTGGCCTTTGAAAAGTATGGCGGTGTTCTAACATTTGGCGGAGGGTGAAGATATGATCAATACATCCTCGACCAGAACGAAACCCAGCCTGCTCCTCGCGAGTCAATCTTTCTCGGGTTTTGAACAACCTACGAAGTATGACGGAAGCCAATAGCTTGGACGCAATCGGAAGTAGACTTATCCCCCGATAGTTGTTACAGGAACGACGTGAACCCTTTTTAAAGATAGGGACAACTATCGACTCATTCCATGACGTTGGTACACTCTCTAGTTCCCAAACCTTTGTAAACAACGTCGTCAATTCCTTAGTCAAAAAGTCACCACCATCTTTAAAAAGAGCCGGAGGTAAGTCATCTGGGCCAGGTGATTTGTAACGCTTCAAGAGTTGGAGTTCCTTGCGGACTTCCTCCTCATTTGGTGGATCAGTCGTCACCGGCCATGGAGGGCAGGACAGTCTGACCGATGTTGCCGGAGCAGCAGGCCAGTTGAACTGCCCTTCGAAAAATTCTGCCCATCGTCCAAGACGTCGATGGATGTTAGTGATTGGCATCCCATCATCCTCGCAGATTGTTTCACTCACACCAGACTTCTTGCTGCCAGTGGCTCGGATGAGTTGGAAGAGCTTCCGGTAGTTACCAGATGCAGCTGCTGCTTCCAGCTCATTAGCACGCTTCGACCACCAGGCTTCTCGGTCCTTACGCAAGCTTTGCCCAATTTCCTTACGTAACATCCTTCGTTTATGGTCAAACTCACGGTCACCCGGAGTAGACCGACGGGCTTCAATGAGTTGTAAGGAACCAGAAGAAACCCAGTGCTTAAAGCGGGACGTTTCGCAAACCCACAACTGACTGTTCCCGCCATTTTCATGGCGTCATGCAATTGCAACCAATGCTCATCTATACTTTTCGGTGGAGTGGTAGCTAGCCTAGAGGCTAGCTCGGTTCGATACTTACTTGCAACAGAAGTTGCAACCAGCTTGCTAACATCAATCCGTTGATGGCGTCACTTCGTTGTCCACTGAAAAGTAAGGTAAGATTGGCGCAGACCAAGGCATGGTCAGAGTCCAGATAGGTACTCCAAAAGGAGCGGCAGTCTTGTACACAACCACGCCAGCGGTAGCTGATCGCGATGTGATCAATCTGAGTCCAGGCTTGAGATGCAGAGGGAGGACGCCAGGTGGCACATCGGCGATGACTGTGCCGAAAGTTAGTGCTAGCCAGAAACAGGTTGTGGTCTGTGCACAGTTGCAGTAGACGGTCCCCGTTATCTGACCTGCGACCAACGAGTCCCCATCGGCCACCTAAACGACTCTCTTCTGTGCCTAGACGCCCGACCTGAGCATTCAAGTCTCCGGCTAGTACTACAATATCTGTCGAACGCACTTTCTGGAGAAGAACAGATAACTTTGGTGGAAATTCGACTGTATCTAAACGTTCTCGAGTCACTGTCCGGCTGAAAATTGTATGTTACCACTGAATATGAGTACTGAAGCAGTTTTTCTGAAAGCACGTGCACCATTCAAACTGGCTGCCTTCAACTTCCACACACTTATGCAGGTCGGACAACAGAAAGGACTGGCTGTGTCTTTGGAAAGTCTTAATATCGATATCTGCTGTCTATCCGAGACACATATTCAAGACTCTGGTGAAGTACTACAAATTCGATCTCCATCTGTCACTTCAAAAAGCTTGTTTTACGTGAGCTAACTAACTTTCGGCACAGTCATCGCCGATGTGACACCTGGCGTCCTTCCTCTGCATACCAAGCCTGGACTCAGATTGATCACATCGCGATCAGCTACCGCTGGCGTGGTTGTGTACAAGACTGCCGCTCCTTTTGGAGTACCTATCTGGACTCTGACCATGCCTTGGTCTGCGCCAATCTTACCTTACTTTTCAGTGGCCAACGAAGTGACTGCCATCAACGGATTGATGTTAGCAAGCTGGTTGCAACTTCTGTTGCAAGTAAGTATCGAACCGAGCTAGCCTCTAGGCTAGCTACCATTCCACCGAAAAGTATAGATGAGCATTGGTTGCAATTGCATGACGCCATGAAAATGGCGGGTACAGTCAGTTGTGGGTTTGCGAAACGTCCCGCTTATAAGCACTGCGTTTTTGCAGGTTCCTTACAACTCATTGAAGCCCGTCGGTCTACTCCGGGTGACCGTGAGTTTGACCATAAACGAAGGATGTTACGTAAGGAAATTGGGCAAAGCTTGCGTAAGGACCGAGAAGCCTGGTGGTCGAAGCGTGCTAATGAGCTGGAAGCAGCAGCTGCATCTGGTAACTACCGGAAGCTCTTCCAACTCATCCGAGCCACTGGCAGCAAGAAGTCTGGTGTGAGTGAAACAATCTGCGAGGATGATGGGATGCCAATCACTAACATCCATCGACGTCTTGGACGATGGGCAGAATTTTTCGAAGGGCAGTTCAACTGGCCTGCTGCTCCGGCAACATCGGTCAGACTGTCCTGCCCTCCATGGCCGGTGACGACTGATCCACCAAATGAGGAGGAAGTCCGCAAGGAACTCCAACTCTTGAAGCGTTACAAATCACCTGGCCCAGATGACTTACCTCCGGCTCTTTTTAAAGATGGTGGTGACTTTTTGACTAAGGAATTGACGACGTTGTTTACAAAGGTTTGGGAAATGGAGAGTGTACCAACGTCATGGAATGAGTCGATAGTTGTCCCTATCTTTAAAAAGGGTTCACGTCGTTCCTGTAACAACTATCGGGGGATAAGTCTACTTCCGATTGCGTCCAAGCTATTGGCTTCCGTCATACTTCGTAGGTTGTTCAAAACCCGAGAAAGATTGACTCGCGAGGAGCAGGCTGGGTTTCGTTCTGGTCGAGGATGTATTGATCATATCTTCACCCTCCGCCAAATGTTAGAACACCGCCATACTTTTCAAAGGCCAACAATCGTAGTGTTTCTTGACATCAGGGCTGCCTTCGATTCGTTGGACAGGACTGTTCTCTGGGATTGTCTATTGAAGAAGGGTGTGCCTGAGAAGTTTATTAACATCCCAAAAGCCCTATATAAAAACACCTCAGGCAGAGTGAGGGCATACAACCACCTCTCTCCATTGTTCCATTCGAGCAGTGGGGTTAGGCAGGGTTGCCCAATCTCACCATTCCTCTTCAACTTTGCCATCGATGACATTCTGGAAACAGCTCTGATGAATGTAAGTAATGGTGGTGTGGATCTGTTGCCTGGAGAAAGACTTCTCGACCTTGAGTATGCGGACGATATTGTCTTACTGTGCGATAATGCCCAAGGCATGCAATCCGCACTTAATCAGTTGGCAATCAGTGTCCGTAGGTATGGTATGTGCTTTGCACCTTCGAAGTGCAAAGTACTTCTACAAGACTGGCAGGATTCCAATCCTGTACTCACCCTGGATGGTGAGCAGATAGACGTAGTCGAGAAGTTCGTGTATCTGGGTAGCTGCATAAGTGCTGGTGGGGGTGTGAGTGATGAGATCAATGCACGAATAGTGAAAGCCAGAGCGGCTTATGCCAATCTGGGCCATCTTTGGCGCCTTCGTGATGTTAGTCTGGCTGTAAAAGGTCGGATCTACAACGCGTCGGTGAGAGCAGTTTTGCTCTATGCTTGTGAAACCTGGCCTCTCCGAGTTGAGGACGTTAGACGACTCTCTGTGTTCGATCATCGCTGTCTCCGAAGGATTGCTGACATTCAGTGGCAACACCATGTCAGTAATGCAGAGGTTCGGCATCGTGTGTTCGGGCACAGAGATGATAATGCAATTGGTGTCACCATCTTGAAACACCGACTTCGGTGGCTTGGACATGTTCTACGAATGTCGTCCCAGAGAATTCCACGTCGTGCATTATTTGCCGACTCTGGGACTGGTTGGAAGAAGCGGAGAGGTGGTCAGTGCATGACATGGTGTCGTGGTATGAAAGAAAGCTGCAAAGGACTGGCTTTTGTTGGTCCTTCACGACTCCCTGGTTGGGGTCCGAGAGATGGTGCTACACAGTGGCTAGAGACGTTATCAGATATGGCTCAGAATAGAAGCCAGTGGCGATCCTGCTGTAACCTTCTTTTACTTTCTTCATAAAAAGTGGTTGTGTCTCCCTTACCTGAAAGATTTCTTCTGATTGTACCTTTCCGTTCCCTCATTACTACCACACTACCTTACACCAATCTCTTCGTTATTGTTCTCTTTTTCTTTTGCGCTCCTTACTTTTTTTCTCTCTTCGAATTCTCATTGTTTTGTGTGGCGCATTTATATTGGCGCTCTATTGTACCAATATTTATGTGTTTAAATAAATAAATAAAATAAATATACTGTACAACTAAAAGTATTTTCCTGTGTGTTCGACATTTTGATCAAATATTTTTTAGCGTTGATCGTTGTATGCACTTCAAGTGATTTCCCTTTGTGTAAAATCTAGTTGGCGTCTTATGTAGACGGGAATCCAGAGGTCATAATCAAATCTTTTTGGAGTATTCAGTTACTGCAAACGTGTTTTTGACATAATAATTATTGGTTTAGATTTCTTATATCTACTTATCAAGAGGTTTTTTTAAATTATTGTTTAATTGAATCATACGTTCATCTAAATACATGTCTGTAATTTCTCTCTGCTTCGTAGGCGTCTACTGAAGCGTTGCAGTTCTTAACTGGAACTTATGCTCGATTCAATCGACAACTTGTTTTAGAACAAGAACGTTGTATAACGTTGGAGAGGACCGTTGAACAGTTGGCTAAAGAATTACGTAGTTTGGAAATCCAGTTAAAATATCATATTCCTATGGTTGTTGAAGACAAAAATATGAATCAGATTCAGTCTGAAGGTACTAATTTTTTCATTTTATTTGGACTTGTTAACCTCATTTCTTGTTATTTCTCTGAAGTTTACTATAACGCAGTAGCAGCCGAACAGTCTCTACATTTGACCTTCAGTTATTTGTGTTGATTTTGAACCTCAATCTTTATGGTTTTGGATAGTTAGATAGCACAACTAACTGTCAAACTTTGCGTGTTTTTATATATGGAACTCTTTCTTGTAAATCGTCCAATCTATAAATGTTCACCAGACTCGTGTTTTACAAGAGGTCAAAGGTATTCTGTTTAGTTTGTTGACTACATGTACTTTAATATAATTCACTAATTACACGCTTATGTAATCTGCTTTAAGCCACATTTGTATGAGATTCACTGTACTATTTGGTTGCCAAAACTGAGGTAAGTAGAGGGAGTTCAGACCTAAAACTTGAAGGTTGAAAGAGCTGATGTTTTTTCCTTTTGATGAGCAACGTTAAGTATAGGACCTAGGTAAATCAAGGTCACTTCTATAATGATTACTTTCTATTGTCCGCTTTTCCTCTGTTTATTTGGATCTACCTGATAGAGTAACATTTCAAAATAGACCATTTTACATAGTAATCATATTGATAATTGAATGTAATATGCATATCTTTCCAAGTGGTATTGTGTATACACATATTCATTAGATGTTTACGTTTTACGTGAAAGATGTATTACTTTTAGTTTGTACAATAGATTCTATTTTCACAATACTTTATTTTAAGCAATATAGTCAATTGACTCCTTTTAATCAGTCTTAATACATATGTTTTCCCTCCTATCTTAATATATATCCCTCTGCAAAAATGTATTTTTTAACTTTGCTAACATTGTTAAACGTGAGCTCCAATCGAATTCAATTCCGAGTTTGTTTTCTTCCTCCTTTGAGATACAAAAATATGATCTTCATATGAATAACATACCAAGTTAAATTATGTAAGAGTATAACAACATGTGATATCAATGCAAAAGTTCATGTATAACCGTGAATGTGAATCTGTTTACAACTGTTATGTCGATATCCTTCTTGTTGTATTAAGGCTAGTGACTAACAGTGTCATTTAAAATCTATATTTTCTATCGTGTAAGAGGTTCATGAATACCTATGATGTTCCTCTTAGCACTCAAACGTAGTACTTATTATTTCCAACGCTTAAGAGTGTATCCATCAGACCACTGAATCGTGATGTCTAACTAGTCCGTCCTTCCAATACGTTATTTTATTATTTGTAAGAATTTTCCCTTTTTCTGTTGTTCGTATTCATAATTAAATTGACATGTTCTAGATTTCACTATTCACCATTCAAAATGTTAATATGTAAAAGTCAGAGTATAATCCTTTTAAAGAATTCCTACACCCAAGTAGAGTGTTCGGTTCTTGTCCTGAATATCAGCTAAAGAAAAGTTTCAACTCTTATAAATTAAAAAAGGTCTCTTTTTAGTTTTTGCTCTTTGCTGGTGTAAATATTTTTTCTTTCATTCGCACAAATTATTTTCGATTTATGTCTTTCTATATATAGAATATGGTAGCCTGAACAATATCACAACTTATCGAGTCTTACGTTGTTCTCATCTTAATCTCCTTTGTATTCCGGTCCCGACCGTTGTTGCTACCTTGACGTGGTGGTCGGGCTTGCCTATCGTAATGAACCAATCGATATATAATGGCTCGAACAATCGTTTCTCAAGGTCCCACCGAGCCAGACAGGTCGGTTGAAGAGCGGTAAGACTAAAAGCAACAAACCCAAGGTCCGAAGGCGAAGTCGTACTGCTGACTGTACAGAGGTGTGACAGCAGTAAGGAGTTTCCTTCAGACAACCAGCATGACAGCGATGCTGCTTTCCCACAAGGAGGGGTGGGGTTAGAAAAGGTCGACCCCAAAAATGCACACCTCGCCTTATCCCACGGATATCCGTCTCCGGTGGTAAGGTCTCAACAAGTGCGGAGCTAACACAAAAATTACCCATAAAAAGGTCGTGTGTAACCGACCTCAAGCAGTTGTGCCTTGGGCACTGCAGTCACGCTCCCAGGTCTCTAAGACCACCTCTAATCCAATTTTCTTTTCAGATACCTCCAGAAGAACCCTTTTACGGTGTTGGAAACCGGGAAGTGATAACTGCCCTCATACCTCTAACAGCACTCAAGACCACTGACTGACTGACTGATGTATTCCAGTGTATCGGGCAATCAGATTTATCCTGCTTTATTCAGCTGTATATATCACTTTAGTTGACCGTTTTGTGTTATGTCAGAACATTTACTCAAAGTTGTGTGTATTTACATAAATAACCAGTTATGTCTTTTTCCAGTGTTAACGACTGACTTACTAATTGTGAAGTTTTGAACACGTTCCGCGAAAAATTGTTGTTCTAGTTTCGTTTTAAACAATCAGTGAGGGAACGCTTTTTTAGAGACTCGTAATTTACTTGTTTTACAAATGAGAACTAAAAGTTTGTTGTATCCGAATTTTAAAGACTTTATTCATTCTAATCAAGTCGGTATATTTGAATGATTTGAATAATTCATTTTCGTTTATTGGGTCACAAGTTCGAATTTCGTCCCATCTACTTTTTCGTATGAACTGTTTGGTTGTGTAATTTCTAATCCTCATGCAATAGGTAATTAACTCAAAATGGAATGCACAAACTTTTATTAAGTTGCAATTTCATTCATATTTGCATTACTTTTAGTAATACCATATTAGTATGCTTACTACTCGTAGTAATTAATTGGTTCAAGGTTATATCAGAAAATAACATCAAAATTAAGAAAAGATTCTAAAGCTAAAGAAGAATATAAGAAAATGGGCGAAAATTGGTTTAAGAATGATAAATAGATCATTTCAAGTATGATATCAGGTATCGATTGGTGAGCGATGTTGGTTTTGACTTACGTCGACTATTGTTCTCAAACGTTAATTTCTACTATATTTGGGATTTAAACAGTAATGGTTTCTTCAAGTGCTTCAGGTGTGACCCGGGGTGTCGAAAATTTTCGCTGCATATCAGGATCCTCGCATAACATGTTACGAGAAAGACCTGCTCGCTATTTTCTATTGGTGGAAGTCTACTCACAAAAGTACATGGGTGTTATTATATAAACATCTCATCCAGCAAACATAAACTGTTAACTTACAGGTTGGGACCAGTGATTCTAAGATTCTAGAGTAACAGATAGTTTTACTTGTTAAAGTGAGTATGAAATACTAGATACTACTTAATTGTCTAGTAAATTATACTCTTAGATTAAATATTTTGAAAGGTATCTGCTAAGAAGAATGCCACTTTTCATTTAAGTGCCTGGTGTGTATCACAAACCTCACATTGACAATGATAATCCGAAGTAAAGAATACTCATAATCTGGCATTTTAATCATTACTATTTTGAACAAGGTCATTCCTATATATATCGTGTATCTTTCCATTTTTATTACCACTCTCACCTCATATCCAATCTTTGTTCTAACTGCCTTGTCATTTCTATTACTTATCAAGTCTAAATCGTCGTGGTTGATCAAATTGTTTCTTTACAGACTCGACTTTTGATATAGTTATTTAGAAACAATATAATTTGTCTAAACTTTAATTCCTCAACTTTCTAACCCTAATACAGATGTGGTAACACATAGGTTTGGTTAAAACTGATATATATCTCATAGACCCATAATTGATATTCAAGTAAACTATTGAGAATTTATTATCCATTTATGAATTCCAAATTCTATTCTATTGCATCAGTCTTGGCATGTCGCGTAATCGGCGTGTGCTACACTAAATTGGTGCATCACTATTCACTTATATGCTTATTAATAATCAATTATGTTGTTCTAAATTGGGTTCGTTATTATTGATGAGTAAAGGGAAAATATTTTGATCGGCAGAAGAATATATAAATTTTGCAGATCTCGTTCGACTGCTTAAGGTGATTGTGACCGAGTGATCAGTGCTCGCGAGTATGAATTATTAATGCAATGCCCACTATGAACAGATATCAAAAAGGTTGTACTCCTTGTCAACAAAATATGAGTTGTTTTATACGACAAAATAGCGCACTCATTTACAAAACATTTATACAAATTAAACAAGAATGAATTTAAATTCACTTGGTATTGTTTGGCTTGTATCTTCCCACTGAGGTTTAAGACTGCAGTTGATCAGTCTGTTATTGACATATGTGCATACTGTGCATATGCATTTAGTTTAAAACGTAACTATTCGAGCTCCCAAGCTTTCAATGGCAGTCTAACTAAATTTAGTTCGTGATATGGAGTCTATGAAAATTCTGTGATCTTCACAAAACTTTACACTGGTTGTAAGATACTTATTTCGTAAGTCATAAGCCAACCTGATAAAACTAACTCCTGATTTTCGGATTTAATTCTTACCTGCCCTACCAAAAACTAGATCTTATAGTGATATTTATATACGATCCAACAAATTGTAGTTGGGATGTAGCCAAGAATGAGTTATTCTGCCAGTTGAGTAGTGTTTTAAACAAAATACTGTCAAAGTATTTCATGGTTCTGTGTGGTTCTTAAATGTGTAAACTGTGTGCGTGGATGAATTACAAATTTTCTCTAGGGTGACTGATAATATCTTGAAGGTCACACTTCGTGCAATAAAAACAAACTTGTGAAGCTTCTTGTAGATCACAGCCTATTTTTGTCCACTACAAACAAGTAGGGCCCTCTATGCTAGCTAATGTTCTTTTATTGCGACATGACTTATCTAGCAAAGCACTGCTCTAACAAAAACCTTAAATACTAAACTCCTCCAAGATGTCATATTTAGCTCATGCACTTCGTTTCTTTTCAAGAGTGTTATCAACATTCAGGTTAAATGACTAGTTTTTTATCCCTTTTCAATAGCTATCATCAAGTTTTTTTTTACAGTGGATTTCTTGGAGCCTGTTTTATCAAACTTCATGTGTTATAACTAATTATAAAAACTTGTATTCTCTTAACAACTCAAATAAATGTTATATTTCG